CAACAGCAGAATATACCCATTTCTTTCAGTGCACATGGAGCATTTATCAAAGAGACCATATTCTGAGCTGTAAAATGAGTTTCAGTAGATTTAAAAGGATTCAGATTATACAACGTCTCTTTCGATCTCAAGAAAATCCCCAAATATTTGGAAACCAAGTAACATACTTTTAAATAGTCTATGGGTCAAAGCAGAGATCAAAAGGGAGAGTATTTTGAATTGAATGAAAATTAATATATAACTTTTCAAAATTTGTAGGATGCATGTAAAACAGTACTCAGAACAAAGTCTATATTACTAAAGTGCCTAAATTTTAAAAAGAGTTCTCAAAGAAACAATTTCGGCCTTTGTGTTAAGAAACTAGAAACATAAAAGCAAATTAAACCTAAAATAAACAGAATAAAAGAAAGAAAGTTTACGGCAGAAAATAGAAAAACCATAAAGAAAATCAGTAACAGCCAAAGTTGGTTCTTTGAGATCCGTAAAATGGAGAAAGCTCTAGTGAGACTAACCAGGAAAAAAAAAAGAAGACATAAATTACCAGTGTCAAGATATAAATTACATCACTACAGACTTTCTACAGATCTTAAAGGAATAACAAGGAAATCATCTTAATAATTTCATGCTAATAAATATGTTATCCTAGATGAAGTAGACAAATTCCTTGAAAGAACCAAACTATCCAAGCTCACCAAAGAAACAGATAATCTAAACAATTCTGTATTTTAAAATGAATTGTAGCTGAATATTTCCTTAAAGGAAACTCCAGGCCCAGATGGCTTCTACCATATTTTTAAGGAAGGAACAAATCCCAGTGCTATGAATGGAAATTATTCTAGAAAATTAAAAAGAAGAGAATGTTTCTCAATTTATTTTCTAAGGTCATCCCTACCCTGATAGCAAAACCAGAGAAAGTTGTTGGAAGAAAATAGAGATACTGGCCAGTATCCATCATAAATAGAGATATAAAAATTCTTAACCAAACTTTAGCAAATTAAATCCTACAATATTTAAAAAGGATGATACATCATGACCATGTGGGGTTCATCCTAGGAATGCATGCCTGGTTCCATTAAAAAAAAATCAATGAATGTAATTCATCATATTAATGGATTAAGAAAAGAAAGCCATATCATTATTTTAACAGATGGAGACAGAATCCAAAAATCCATTCCTACTAAAAACTCTTGGCAAATTAGGACCTTCCTCCACCTAATTATGGATATCTATGAAAAACTGACACCTGATATCATAATTATGATGAAAGACGGTGCTTTCCTCCTCAGATTAGAACCAGGCAGGGACTTCTGCTCATCGTCACTTCAGCATTATACTGCAGTTCTAGCCAGTTTGTTAAGGCAAGAAAAATAAACAAAAGGCATCCCTATTAGAAAGGAAGAAGTAAAACTGGCATGATTTACAGGTAATATGATTGTCTGTAGAAAATCCTACAAAGTCTATAAAAACTCTACTGGAACTAATAAGCTGAGCTTAGCAAGGTTGTAGGATACAAAATTAATATACAGAAATCACTGGTAGTTCTAGTTACTGGCAATATACCATTGGAAAGTGGAAAAAAAATTATAGCAGCAGCAAAAAACATGAAATACTTAGGATATATTTGGTAGAGGTGTAAGACTTTTACACTGATAACTCTAAACATCACTGAGAGAAATTTAAAAAGACCTGAATAAATGGAGAGCTATACTGTGTTCATGGATCAGAAAACTCAACACTGTTAAGATGCCATGTCTCTTCCAAGTGTTGTATAGATTCCAATCCCAGTAAAAATCCCAGTGGGCTTTTTTTTTTTCTTTCAGATATTAAGCTTATTCTAAAATTTATAAGAAAAGGCAAAAGACCTACAATAGTCAAAACAACTCACAAAAAAGGAGAAAAAAAGTTGAAGGAATTACACTCTCTGGTTTCATGACTTACTGTAAAGCTACAGTAATCAATACGATGTGTGTGGTATTGGTGTGTAGATATATATCTCAGTGGGAAAGGGTAATCTTTCCCTAAAAGGTGTCGGGAAAATTTGGTGGCCATGTGCAAAAATGAGCCTCAGCTCTTACCTGCTGCCATGTGCAAAAATAAAGTTGGCCAAGACCTAAATGTACAAGCTGAAACTATAAAATATCTAGAAAAAACTTTAGTTCCTGCCCTTCTTGGTGCTGCAGAATGGGACTCGGAGGCCTGGGTTCTGTCCTAGATCTTGACATCTTGGGCTGGCCAGTTACCTTCTTGGGGCCTCAGTGTTCTCAACTGCCAATTGAAGGGATTAAGTTATATTTATTCATTCAGTAATTTTTTTTGGCAGATCCAGTGCTCTGACATGAATTTTTTGAGCACATACCATGTACCAGGCACTATTTTAGGTACTGACAACACAAGAAAATAGGCTGTGGTTCCTGTCCTCATGGAACCAGTATGTGTTTATCTGTTATGTGCTGGACATTGTCCTAGGTTTTGAGAATATAGCCCATAATGTCTTCATCTCAAGGAATTTATGAATTTCGTACCAAATAGAGACAAAAAAAGCAAACAGATAAAACTATAATTATAAAACATGTTACAAAGGAAACAAAATCAGAGGAGACCCCTCCTTTGGGCAGGGTTTTCAGAGGAGGTACACTTGAGCTAAGATCTAAACGAAGGAAGAGAAAAGGTGCTGTGGGTGCCTCGGTCTTTGTCTCTTCTCTCAGAAGTCGAGAGTGAACGTGAGACTGATGTGATTCTTCGATTGTAGGCATCTCTAAGCAATAATAGCTTCCTGGGGCCATCTGTTCTTCACCACACCCCTTTCTTCAGGGGGTTCATTGTCTAAGTCAGGAACTATAAATGAGAATACATGAAATGGACCGAGTTCTCCTTTCTGATATTTAATGAATACTCCTTTAGCTCGTAATTCATAACCGAGTGAAAAACAAGAAGGATAAAATGAAGCCTAAGCCGGAGGTTGCACATTGGTGTCTGGCCTCCAAAGAGGTTTCCTTTGGCCTATAGTGATTTTTTTTTTTTTTTTTTGAGACAGAGTCTCACTCTGTTGCCCAGGCTAGAGTGCCGTGGTGTCAGCCCAGCTCACAGCAACCTCAAACTCCCGGGCTCAAGGGATCCTCCTGCCTCAGCCTCCCAAGTAGCTGGGACTACAGGCATGCGCCACCATACCTGGCTAATTTTGTCTATATATTTTTAGTTGTCTGGCTAATTTCTTTCTATTTTTAGTAGAGACGGGGGTCTCGCTCTTGCTCAGGCTGGTCTCAAACTCTTGAGCTCAAGTGATCCTCCCGCCTCAGCCTCCCACAGTGCTAGGATTACAGGCGTGAGCCACTGTGCCTGGCTGCCGGCCTATAGTGTTTTAAAAGTCAGGAAATTTCAGCTAAAACCCTAGATTTCTAGCGTTGCCATTTAAATCTGTAGATGTGGCCACCCCGAGCCCATATTCCTACAGCACGGGGATCGGAGCTGGCTGGCCCAGCCCCCTTGGATGGGCTCATACTCTCAGATCTCATAGCCCCCTCTTGTTTGATCTGCTTAGCTCACCTGTGGTTACTTGACTGACCCCATGTGAATTTGTTTGACTAAGAATCATCTCGGGGGGCTTTGTTTTGTGTTCAAATATCTGTATCCGGGAACCCTGCTGTGAGTCTCATCCCCTGGTGCCGGGCTGGGTGACGCTAGTGTGTAGCCAGGGAGGAGAACCTTGGTCACAGCGTTCACCACTGGAGGACACACTCTGAGGAGTGGGGACTTCTGGTAACTGCTCATTTACCCTGTTGGTGGAATACCTGGTAGTAGGTACTTTAAATGCTTGTAACATAAATGAATAAATTATATTTTAATTTTGGTATGTGTTTGACCTCAGAAAGGCGTATGTACTTACAAAAACACATTTCTTAATTCAGATGTGTGGGCTTTTTAAAAAAATTTTTCTTTAGTAGATAACACATTTGTGTGGTTTTAAGATCAAAATGTAAAAGGGAAGACAGTGAAAAGCCACCTGCCTGCTTCTGTTTCCTATCTGACCCCGTGCTCCATATCCCCCCCCCACTATGCAAGTTCAAACAATATGGCCATACATTCTTATTTTACTCCCTTTTTACTCAAAAGGTGGCTTTCTAAAAATAATGTTCTTTTTATACCTCTTTACCCTTGAAATCTTGAAGATTTTATATTAGTAGAGAGCTTCCTCCTTTATTTTTTTAAACATTTGAAAAATACTTTTCATTGTTTGAGCATACTATGATTTATTTAACAAATACCTCATTGAAGGACATTTTGATTTTTCTAACTATTTGCTACTGTGAACAGTGCTGCAGTTCGTACCCTTGTATGTCAGTCATTTTACATACACATGTGTGCAGAGTTTATCTCTGATAATTCTGAAGTGGAATGGCTAGGTCAAGGAGTATGCGCATATGTAATTTTGATATATATAACCAAATTGTCCTCTTCTGGGGGTCGTATCACAGATGCTTTTAATTAAAATTAACACTGGTATTTGGAATGTGTTTTAAAAAGAATGTTTACTTTGTTTTATTTTGTCATCTTTGTGGAGTTAGAGAAGTTATTTTGTAGCTTTCCTGAATTTTGGTAGGAGTAATAAGATTATTCCAGAACATTGGTTCCCACTAATGGCCAAAGATCCTTTAGGGTTCTCAGATTCCTTTGCTAAAAAACATCAACTATATAGAAAATAAATAATGTCTCACACATATATATTAGTATATATTTCAAGTATACATAGATACTATTGTATTTAATAAAATATCAATTCTTTTAATAGTGCTAGTGAATTCTTAGTTCAGCTAATAACAGCTCAACATCTTATTGTGGATTCTATTGTTTTAGATGACCCTTGGCAGTGTATTAGCTTCATTTTGTGTTCTTCGGTTTTTTCAGTTACTTAGTCTGTAGATATAGAAAAATAGAACCAAAAGACTATGCACGTATTATGAGTATTTGAATATTTTGTAATAAAAATAATCTTTCTCTTGTAGATGTCCCTTTAAGGACCAGCCTGCCACCACCGTTCAGAAATTATAAATATGGTAACCAATTTTTCTTATTTTTTAAATATACATAAGTATGTTAATATAATTTTGTATTTGTTTTTTGTTGATATGAATTTAAATTTGGTTTTACTATCTGTGAATAAAAACCAATTTGGAAGTTTATTTAGAAATGTAAGAATTCTAGTGTATCATTAAAGTCAATTGTAATAGTAGGGAAGTGGCATATTTTTGAAGAATAGCATGTGTGGCAAAACTATGTCTACAATGAATTTCTTTGCCAGGTAATCTGAAAAGGAACAATGATTGAGGACTAAGAATTAAAAAAAGAGATTTAACATTTTAAACACCAATAACTTGAGCGTGTTATGTAGTCATTTTATATGTTACAATCAGCGATTTAAAAATGTAATAAGGCAAGAAGCTAGGTGTCATCCTTCAGTATAAAGACGGTACAGTTATTAACCTTCAGCACAGAGACACTTGCTAAACTTTGAATTTGAGACTTCATTTGAAAGTTATGGTACATCTAATAAATATTTCTGTTAATTGGTACAGACATTTTAAAGTATAAATGTTTTATTACCTTAGATTATTTTTCGATGTAGCTTTTCATTCTGTTCCCATTTGATAAAGCAACTTATGACCTAAAATCCTTTGAAATTACAATCTTCACTGTGTGTATGCATTTTAATATCCAGAGACTAATTGTGAGGTTATAAGGGGTAGTCAAGCAGAAGTTGAAGGCACTGAGTGGAAAGTACTTTGATTTATTGGACTTAAAAGAATTTACATACTCAGTATTGAATAAGAAAAAGGAATAAAAAGCGTGATTAAGGTAAATATGAAACTTCTCAATTGTGGCTTTCATGGCTTTCAAAGCATAATGCCTTGAAATATAGCCTTAAACTTGAATCAACCTACAGATGCTATTTCAAATTAGAATAGTTACATATGGTTTCCCTTTTGGCACAGTGTGTGTGTGAGTGTGTATGTGTGTATGTCTATATGCAAACTTGTGTTCCATGTCAGTTATTTTGAAATATAAATTTTAGATAATGAAAGCGTTAGAATATCCGAGTTGCTAAGCATTATTGTGGTAGATAATGTACCTTTTGGATTATTCTATCTTATTAACACCCTTTCCTCCTAGTATTTCTATACTGTTCAGATGAATTGACAGAAAAAATGAATACATTTATCTGTGAAGAAATTAGAGTTCTGATAGACTTCAAGCGGTTCTTTGTCTGAGTTTGGCTCTTTAACAATCTCCTGCTTTGTGTTGAACAAGAAAGGCCAAAGTGTTACTTTTTCACCTGTCATCCGTCATCCAGTATTGCTGCATCATGGTTTGTGGGAATAGGACACTGCGCTGGGCGCTGGGGAGTGGAAGGGCGCAGAGTCAGATTTCAGTTTTGCTGGTGACTGTCTCCCTGTCCTTGGGCAAAGGGCTGGTTCTCTTTGCCACCAACAGTCTGAGATTTCTCAGAGTCTCCTCCCATTTAATTGGCATCTCCATCTATTATTGATTTGCCATGCATCCTACTTATTTTAGAATCCCTATTGCTTGGACATTGCACATGCAGGCACGTGTAAGTGTTGGTTGCTGCACAGTGTGGGCTGCTCACCCCTGTCTGTTTCATAAAGCCGTGTGAGATCAGATCAAACAGTGCATGTGCCAGCTCATTAAATGCTCCACAAATATGTTATTTTTATTCTTATGAGGTTGCTTTCTTCAAGGAATTTGCATTAAGGAAACCATACCCACAGATATCATTTTTGTTAATAATGAGGATTTTTTAAAGGAAAAGCAAGTGAGAAATGGATTATTCAACAAAGGAAGGGACATTAGTACATCTTTTGCTGGTTTGTCATTTCTCCTTTCTTGGGTCTTGCTAATTTCTGTTGGAGAGAAAAATCTGGCAAAAATTTCTGTTCAAAACAATTCTTTTCCTGCTAAAAAGTGTAGCCATTTTATTATGGGTTTGCCAAGCCTATTAGAGCAATGATATTTCTAATTTAAAGGCTCAGTAACAGAATTTATAGAGCATGATTAATATTTAGTAAGGTCAGACTACAGTTTTGTAGGTTGACTGTAACAGACTTTAGGCTCGTGTTATTAAAAAAGTTACTATTGGTTAGAAGATAAGGGGATTTCCAGTAAAAAAAAAAAATTACTATTGGCTTCTCTAACTTGTCTCAAATAATAGCTTGGTGAGAAAAAGGTAACTCAGAGTAATAGATAATCCAAAAGTCACATTTAAAAATTTTCTTATGTACATTGTAAGCTTATTTTTAGCAATTATGGCATATTGACATTCCTACTATATTAATACATATTTTACCTAGGTTAGATTTATTTTATTTCTTAAGATTACAGAGTTAAAGTCCAAGGATTATGTTGACCTTGTTTTAAAAATTGCAATAGATAGATAATTGAAAGCTGACTATTTAAAATAATGGATAATTCAGAGTGCTGGTTCTTAACTGGATAGGTATACTACTCTTCTGTATTATGAGGGCCTAGTTAAGTCAAGGTCTGTTTTTTAAATATTAATAGATTCTTTCATTTCATATCACTATTGAAATTCCTTGTTATAGTGTGATTGATAGAAATTAATTTTAGTTTAAGATCGAGAGTTTATTCAGATATAATAATACGTTGTAATCATAATGCATTAATTAAATGGCTAAATAAAACTGAGTAAAGAGTTGGAAGCTTTCTGAATTTCAACCCATTGAATGGCTACATCTGTTTTATAATTAAGGGCTGATTATTGTAGAGTTAGAATTTTACCCAAGTGTGGAGAAATTACTTATTGGAAAAGCACGGTGTAGCCTGACTCTAAGAAAAACAGATTAAGGAGTGAAGTTGGATTTGAATAGAGCAGAGTAGATGGTGTAAGCCTGTGCAGAATTTGCAAGCCAGGAGGCAGATATTGATATTCTTTGGGCATTAGCAGCCTTACTCAGATTACCAGTGATCCTAGATAAATAGTGTTTGAATTCTGAGAGTGCTAAGACCTTTTCAGTGTCATCATTTGACCTCTTGTCATCGGATCTAGTCTGAGAGATGAGTAGATTTTTCGAACTGCTTTTGTTAATGTCTGTCTTAAGACAGTTTTTTTTTTAAACATTATTTGCTGATCCAGGCCTGTAGTGACAAAAAACAGGATAGAGTAACGTGATTGGCTTGTCTTCTATTGTAAGTAGATGTGCTGAGTTGACGTCAGGTTCTGACACACACCCATCTGTGTGTGCCAAAGACCAAGGCTTTAAAGGAGCTTTGTACTTTTATCTTCACTTCTAATGATTTGCAAAAATAATTTTTATTTTACTCTACACCAGATTTTTAAGTGAATCCGGTCATAAGGCAAAGACTTAAATTTCTCAATTTCATAGCCACCCCCTCATCTCACTTTAATAATTTGAAAAGAAGTTTTAGAATAATCTGTGTAAAAATACAACTTGCTTTTTTCTTTCAGATAAACTAAAGATCATTCACCAAGCACATAAATCAAAGGTATGTTTCACATATATAGGATCTGGCACCTAGCAAGTAATCAATGTTGGTTGAATTGGTGAATAAGTGAATGAACACTGTACATCTAAAATATTTCCCATTATACTAGCATGTTTTATTTTGTAGGTACCCTATTTACTGCCTTACTTTTCCATTGAAAAAAATGGTGAAGTCATATCTCTGTTAGTAGTAGATCCTTTTAAAAGGCCTTAACTAAAAAAAAAAAGGAATGGCATATGTTGTTTATCAAGCACATATTTAGCATAAAATAAGGATAAAACTTGGGAAAGTTTTATGTATTACATATTTAAAAATATTACATATTAAGATTACATATTAAAAAAGAACTTATTATCTGGCAATCCAGTATCTTTGATTTTCTTAATTCTGCACCAGAAGAAAAGGGCTAGAAGAAGATACAAATAATTTACTTGTTCTGATTGACTCTTGCTGTGTGTAAGAGAAGGCCCAGGACTGTAGCTCTAGGAACAAATCTAGTTCCACCAAAGCATAGCCTGCAATCCTGAAGTTGTCTTGCCTTCCCCACAGACAGCTGTTTAATTATGTATTTGTCGTGTGTTTACATTTCTGTTTTCTTACTCTTCAAATGTTTTTTATGAAGCCACAATCAAAGGTATGCTTCTTAAGACTGTTCTTTTTCTTTAATCTCAATGACCTTCTATAGGATCCTCATAAAAGCAGCAATCTTATTTTATCATATAACTACTTAGGGACAACATAATATTCTTCATCTCTCCAATACCTAGCACAATGCCTGGTTCATAGGAGTTTTTCCATAACAATTTCTGAATGAAGTATTTATGAATTCATTTCCTTCTCTCTTTTTGTCATAGATGTACTCCATAAATTCAGTCAGCTCTCAAATAAATGTGTGTCATAGATCACAAAGAAAGTGCCATGAGCGTATTGCTGTTGACTTTGTTTTTTAATTTATTTTATATTTTATTTTTGTGTGTGTGTGTGGCTTAAAACAACACACATTTATTCTTTTACAGTTCTGGAGGCCAGATGTCTGAAATCAGTTTCACTGGGCAACAGTTGGCAGGGTTGGTTCCTTCTAGTAACTTTATTTTTTTATGCCAAGGATTATATATGCAAATGCCTCAGATGTGCTCACGTGTGTCTGGAGCTGCAGTGTGGGGCGTGCCCTTTTTGTGGGTACTGGAATGTATTGCGCTGTATCTGGCCACTGACTTCACTTTCTCTACAAAGTGTTTCTAATCTGGTTCCTAAAATGTAGAGAATAGGAAGTGTGTTCCTATTTTATAGGGGAAAAATATATATAAATATGCTATAAAATATAAATAAAGTTAAAATGAAATAATATGCTCTTCGAAAAGATTGTAAAGCAAAGTGTGTCATTCTCCATTCAGTGTTGCATGTTCTACGTTGTTGGGCTTGTTCATATGGTCATGTTTCCTGAAAGGAGTAATTAGTAGATTATTCTTTTATTTAAATGAAAACATAGTTCACCATGTTCGAATAATCAGTATTATGACATTTTTAAAAAATCAGGAAATTCTCCTCCTGTAGTTGGAAGAAAAAAAATCTTAGAATGGTTAGTTATATTTAAAACACATGTTTCACCCTGGCATATTCTAGTTGTAAAATTTGGGCTTATTTTCCAGTTGAATGATGTATTTGTTTAAAGGGGGGGGGGGTTCCCAAAACAAATTAAGTCACTTAGAATGTTGCTGGAATGTGGCTTCATAAACTTTTGTCTAAACCCTAACAGTCCAGTTAAGTACAGATCGTACGCTCTGGGGATGGTCTGCACGTTTGCACTTCAACTTTTATAAGGGAAAGGTTCGACATATTTTTATAGATAAAGTTTTAAAACTTCAGAAGAACTTCATCAACGTGTCCTCATTTGTGCCTTATCCAACTCCCAGACATTTTTCTCATTCCCAGGTGACTGTTGTCCTTTCATCTTCCACTCCTATCTGTGGGGCCTGTGGCATCACTGGCCCAGCCTGTCAAGTTTTCCAGCCCAGCTGCAATTTAATCTCCTTCCTCAGTCAAAGGGAGAGACTTCCAAATAATGCCTGTATCTTAACGAACTTGTTTATACATTTTCCCCATTTCCCCAGTTTTCTGGGTTTAGAGACTTTCCTAGTTGCAGATACTAGGTATCCTCAGAAATTCTTCCCATCAGCATAATAAAAAGACTGTCTGGATACCTTCCCACCAGAGCCTCCTGTTTGGACTATGAGCTAAGTGTTTGTGGAATGGCTGAATCAGTAGTACATTGCAAATAATTACCATATGTGACTGTGATTATCAAAAAAATGTGTGTATGTGTCATGGATTGAAATCAGTAGTCTATTTATAAAGTCAGAATATTTCTATTAAAAATATTTTGAGGCTGGGTGCGGTGGCTCACGCCTGTAATCCTTGCACTCTGGGAAGCCGAGTTGAGAGGATCGCTTGAGCTCAGGAGTTCAAGACCAGCCTGAGTTCAAGACCAGCAAGAGTGAGACCCCGTCTCTACTAAAAATATAAAAAAAAAATTTAGCTGGAAAACTAAAAATAGAAAAAAAATTAGCCGGGCATGGTGGTGCACACCTGTAGTCCCAGTTACTTGGGAGGCTGAGGCAGGAGGATCGCTTGAGTCCAGGAGTTTGAGGTTGCTGTGAGTTAGGCTGATGCCACTACATTCTAGCCAGGGAGACAGAGTGAGACTCTGTCTCAAAAAAAAAAAAAATTTTAAAATAAAAACTTTAATTTTTGTCTTATATTTTGTGAGTTTGGAAACCAGATAGCTCTCCTTGTTAAAAGTATGTAAAAGGAAGAATTCATACCCTGGAATAAACTTTACAAGAAATGTACAAGGTCTTTAAGAAGAAAACTTTAAAATGCTACTGTCTTCCACACCTCTTTCTCTGTCTCCTTTCTCTCTCTCTCTCTCTCTCTCTCTCACACACACACACACACACTCTTGAAAATATGAATCTGAGCTCTGGGATTAATTGTCCAGACTCACTGAAGTGAACTCCTCTTAAACTGTATATTTTATTATGTGAATTTCTACTTCAATTAACCCAAAATAAGACTTAAGTAAAATGCTTAGGATATTTTGGATAGGAAGATGCAACAGCCGGAAGATGTCTGTTCTCTCTTGACTAATTTATAAATTTAATGCCACCCCAATAAAATACTAAGAACATTTGTATATATATGCAAACTAAAGCTGATTATAAAATTAATATATAAAAAACAAATGAAAGAAATGAAACTGACTAGTCCTAACGTGTATTAAGACATTATAAAACTATAGCAATTAAAATAGTGTGCTACTATCACATGAGCTGGTAATTTAATGGCACGGAATTAAAAGTCCAAAAGTAGACCCAAATATATACGGGAATTTAGTGTATACTAAACATGGCATTTCAAATGTATGGATAAAAGATGGAGGATTCAATAAGTGGTATTGGAGCAGCTGGGTGGGCATCTAAAAAACAATTTTGTTGAATCCCTATCTTCTTCTTTCTGTGCCAATATGAATACTCATTGGATTAATGGCTTAAATGTAAAAATTAAACCCATAGGTGAGGATAGAGATAAAGTGGATTGAACATGACTATAATTTGTTCAAGTTGGGTCATGAGTATGAACAGGGGGTTCATTACACTAGTCTGTATGTATTGTATTTTTGAAAGTCTCCACAATTAAATCCTTAAAATATGAAACTCATAAAAATATTTGAAGCAAACATGGAATTTAAAAAATAACCTTGGAGTGGAGAAAGTCTTTCTAAGTATGATAGAAAACTAAGAAACCCTAAAAGACTGATACATTTTACTTCATTAACTTATTTATTCAGCAAAAATTCATTTAGCACCTTCTGTTGAATAAAACACTATATGAAAAATCAAGGAACAAATGAAAAGTGGGGGAAAATTTTCTAACTTATAGAAAAGGCTTAATTTCTTTAGTATATAAAGATATTCTACAATTCCGTTAGATAAATTATCCTACAACTCCACTAAAAAAAAAATATTTACAACTTCACTCATAATAAATACAAATTAAGACAATGCTTCATCTACATCTGTGAGATTGGCAAAGATCAGAAGAAGGTTTTGGTAACACACTGTGTTGGTGAGGGTGTGGGAAACAGGTACTTCAGTGGCTGGTGGTGATAGTGCAAATTGGTATCGCCTCTCTGGAGAGTTATTTGGCAATGTCTGTCAAGATGTGTAGAACTTTTTTTCTTCAGAGAGTTGTGAATAACTCTCTGACCCAATAATTCTGCTTCTAGGAATTTATCTTACACATGAACTTGTACATATGCAACATAATATATGTACAAGTATATACATTACAGAATTATTTATGGTAGCAAGAGACTAGAAGCAACCCAAGTGTCGATCAGCAGGGACTGACTGGGGTGTGTGTGTCCCTCCGATGGAATATGCCACAGCCTTGATAACTTGTGAAGCAGCTCTTACTGATGTAGATTTTAAGCTACGTTTTTAAGAGAAAAAAGTACAGTGTCATATAGCATATGATATGCTACTGTTTGTGTGGAGAAATTGACAGACACGTCTCTGCATTACATGTACAGAGACAGTCTCTGGAAGGATGCACAGGAATTAGTACAAGTTCTCTGGAGGAGAACTAGGTAGCCAGTGGATAGGGGTTGGGGGGAGACTTACTTTTCACTTTTTACCCTTGTGTGATTGGAGAATTTTGTATCATAAGTATGTATTACCTACTCTAAAATTATTTTTTTAAGTAAAGTTTCTTTCTTTAATCTGTGGCTCTGGAGCTCAAACCCCTAAGCTCTGCAGCGAATGAAGTCCACGAGCCCTGGGCATGGCTTCCGCCCGCTGGGCTTCTCTTTTGGCTGTGCAGAGGCCTTTCTGTTGGCTCTGCCCCAGCCATGTTCTAGAAATAGAGCGCGTTGCTAAACAGCTGCATTCTAGTTGACAGGTGGTACCGTACCCCAGTAGTGGTCAGCTCTGTGTGCTGTTCAGGGCTGGGATCAACTCTACATTTTCTCCTGTATTTATGAAATCTAACTGCATTTGAAATGTCACGGAGGGCACCCTCATCCACCCCCACCCCAAATCTCATAGAGAAATGTTCCAGTTAATATGACAGGGAACCAAATGTGTATTAGCTGGGGCAAGGCTTTTGGATACGTGACTTTGGCCATTTGAAGTAAACTTGCTTCTCTTGGAAGTCAGACCAGCCAGAGCTTGAAGCCCAGCGCCATTGCTGCCTAGCGTGTACCTTGGGCCTATACCCTAACTTCTCTGATTCCTCCTGGGTTATTGGGAGGATGACACGAGAAGATGATGACCATGCACCAACAGAGCAGTGACAGCTAACAGTGCCAACTGCATGGCATCACCATGCTGAGGGCTGTGGCCTTATTTCATCCTCGCCACAAGGCAACGAGGAAGAGGGGTTCTCTTCCCCTGTTCTACAGAGGAGGCGGCTCAGTCTCAGAGAGGTTATGTTTTAATAGTTTGTTAAGAACACACGGCTGGGTACTGGTGGAGCCTGGGTTTGAGTCCAAGTGTAGCTCCAAGTCCTGTGCTATAGCACTGTCTCTCCAGGGCTTCATATGGTGTGTGTGCTTAGTAGGTCCTCACGGTACACCTGCTGACGTCCCTCATTATAGTAGCAGGAATAGAATGTGACTTAGATTATACCTATGGCTTAGAGTAACAACTCTGTCTTTGAGAAGTCCCACCAAATGTGAAACTCATGTAAGTACTGATAAAATGCAGATTTTCTTTCTTTTTAGTCAAATGAACTTGTGTTGAGTTTGGAAGATGATGACAGACTCCTGCTAAAGGAAGACAGAACTCTGAAAGCAGCTGGAGTCGGTGAGAAAGGGGGCCTTGTGTTGCTAGAGGGGGCATTCGCTTTTCCGGACTGTATGATGAGGCCTGGCTGATTACATTTGGGTAACTTGCTGCAAAGCAAATGCTGCTCTTAGTCCTTTTTACACTCCCTGATAACTATTCGGAGGACAAGAATGATGTGATTCTGGTCGCCTGACTGAGGGCAGTAGAGATTGGCTCTCCAGAGGTACAAAATGCAAATAGTGATTTTCAGAAGGGGTGCTCAGAATTCTGCCGAGGGTCGTCTTAAGTGATTGATGGGTTATCAGTACCATGTCTACTTACTCTTATCATCGTCATTTGAGCTGATGGTTTGAGAGAAATGGGCATAGTAGCGCTAATTTGGAATAATGACACGAGATGTCTGTGTAACGTGCAGTGTGGTTTCTGACAGTCTTCCAAATCACTCAGGGCCCACCAAGTCATGGAATTTAAAATAGTCTAGTGTGCAGCTGAAAAATTACCCGATTGGGCCTTTCAACCCAAAACATGCATATAGTTCTATTTTAAAGAAATGTTATGTGACTTGCTTTGTGGCCATTAGATGTCACTGTTATTCTACTTATGTGTATACCTAAAGATATCTGACAATAGAGGGAATGAAGGTTATCAGAGAGGTCTGAGCAGTTAAAGACAGTGTGCCTCTCACACACCTCTGTGCTCAGTGACTATGATAGAGCGTCACAAATCACATGTCCTTTGTAGTTATTTGTACACACTGGTTAAAGAACACAATAAGTGAGGTCCACATTGGGAAGCCTTAAATTTTTTTGACCAGTGTTCTATTGAGTTACTTTAATCACGTATGTCGGGAATTTACTTTTGAATGACTCATGTGACTAACGTCAATTCCTGACATAGATCTTCCTATTTAAATAGAGTCTTAAATAACATGTTGTGAAATCTTAGACTTGTTTTCTGTGTTGAAGTCTACAATATTTGCCAGAATGAGTGTCTTTCTGTATTATGAATACATAAGGTTGATTGTTGTTATTTGAAAAACAATTTTTAATGTAGCATTTGTTTCCTCAAATACTATTATATTACTATAGCAGGTGGCACCTAGAAGGTAGCTCTGTTTGTTGTTAAAGCATAAAGCTATAATGAATATTATATATTGGTACTGATGTGGGAATTGACTGGTAGCTCTGTGGAAAAGAATGGAAAATCCAAAAACAAAGTAATGAAAAGAAAGGTGAGATTTCACAAAATGATAAAGTAAACATCTCAAATAAGTGGGGAGAGAATGAGTTAGCCAGAAAATTATATCAAACCCATTGCCAAAGCATTCAGGAAAATAAAATTCAAATCCTTATCTCAGTTTTATTGTAGTATAAATTCTAGATGGATTAAATGTTATAATGTACAAAATTTTTTAAAAAGAAAGTACGGCTCAATAATTTCATAATCTTGGGGAGGAGAAGAGCTTTCTAAGCGTGACCTCAAAGGCAGAAGCCATAAAGGGGAAGATTTGACCACATAAAAACTAAAAACTGTAAGCGAAGTTAAAGGAGAAGCAATAAACTATGAAAAAATATTTGTAGCATATATGATAGATAAGAAGTTATTAGCCTGACTTTATACAGAGCTCTTGTAATTAGTAGGAAAAAGATAAACAGGAAATTTTGCTGATAGAAGAAATAGCTAACATGAAAAAACAGTTCCATTTTATTAGTAATGAGAGAAATGCATGTTAAAATAGATACTATTTTTTTTTTTGTAGTAGAGTCTAGTGGTTAAGAGTCCAGAGCTGGGCACAGTGGCTCCCACCTGTAATCCCAGCTACTTCAGAGGCAGAGGTGGGAGGATCACTTGAGGTCAGGAGTTTGAGACTAGCCTGGGCAACATAGAGAGATCCTATTGCTAAAATATTTTCTTTAAAAAAATTAGCTGGGTGCAGTGACTCATACTTGTAGTCCCAGCTACTTAGGAGGTAGAAGTGGGAGGATTGCTTGAGGCCAGGAGTTTGAGACACACCTGAGGGATATATCAAGCCCCCTCCCCTTCCCCCCCTCCCTTAAAAAAACAAAAACAAAAGTTCAAAAAACCCTAAAAACCTCAAAAACCTAATTCTGCTTCTTACTATCTGGGTCACCTTGGGGAAGCAGCAATTATGGTAAGATTAGTGGACATCAAAAAAAATGGAGTTCATGGTATGGGGAAATGAATTCTCTTGTACCACTGTTGGGAATGTATGTTACATCTAATTTTCTGTAGGACAGTTTGACCGATAAGACTTTCTCAAGGTTATTTTTGTCATACTTATTACTAAGCCAACAGGAACAAGCTATGGGGTTGTGAGATGTCTTCAGTGGGGTGGTGGGGTTATCCCTCATCTTCTCTGTGAATCACCAGTGCAGAGCTTTATTTAATGAGTGGGCATAGAATATATTGTGTGATGCCATTATTGAAACATGTTGATATTTACATGTGTGTATGTATATATGGGGAAAAGATCATATGCCAAAATTATAGAAATGGTTTCTTGGGGTGGTGGCATTGCCAGTAATTCATATTTTCCTTTCTTCTCTGTATTATCTAATTGCTCTTCTTGTGATTTAAAAACTTTTCTACAGTTTACTTGTATTCCTTATAATTAAGGGATGGATTTTTTTTTTAAAAAAAAGAATAAACCCCTAAAGTTGGGGAAAATCCGTTTGAATGAAGGCTGTACATTTTACTTGCTGTGTGACCTTCTGTAAGCCACTTACCCTCTCTGAAAATCTATATTGTTTTTTGTAAAAATGGGACTTATGAAGCCTGTTTCAGAAAATTGTCAGAAGGGTTGCATGAAAGAATGAAGGCATCGGGAATAACACACGTAAAAGGCCCTCAACAACACATGTTTTATCTGGAAGCCGTCCTGGGGAAGGCAGTTAGCAAACGTTTTGACTTTACTAAAACAATGAGTTGTTGGTCTCGTCGTTAATTTCAGACTGACACGTGTAGTGAACTGTCCGTGAAGGTGAGAATCGAATCCCTCTTTTTGTCATCTCGTTTTGAGGCCCATAGTTCTTGGATCAGAGTCAGGTCCTTTTCCCCGATTCTCCACTCCTTTCCCAGGGGGATGGGGGCTCCAAACTGCCCTCCTGACCCCGGCAAGCCAGCAGCCCCAGGCACAGGGCACCTGGGTCCCTGCAGGGAGCGATTTCCTCTCTGTCGCCTAGAGTAGCGTTGCTGTACTCCAGGGAACAAGCCGAGGTTGTACACGGGGAAGGAGACGAGGGTCCTCAGAGAGCAACAAAAAATTCTGAGTGGGAGTCGAGCTGTAAAAATGATACTTGAAGCATGTGATTTTTCTAGGGAATTTTCCCTCCCTTGTGCCATGTGTGGTTAGGTTTTTAAGAGGTTTAAGAGGAAGATTTGAAGTCGTCCCTGTCTGCCTTTTCGCCACTTGATCTTGCTGTTGAGCTGTCACTCTGCTATCACAGCCAGTTGCCATGGGAATAATGCCCATGTAACAAATTTATCATTAGGACTTTTCTGTAGGAGTCATGAAAGGAAAAGAAAGGCTTTGAGAGAGGAAATTAGGGGAAAAAAACTTGTTTGAAGATTTCTTTTCTCGCGGAGAAATTCTCCAGCTCATCCTCCGGCCTTTGTCTGCACTGCGGATCCGCATTGTGTATTCTACAGCTGACGTCAGTGGAAGTTTCTGCTTGTGGACTTAGTACAAAAATATATAAATAAAAAAGATTTGCTTTGTGAAAGGAATAAGGTAGCTTGACCTAGAAATGTTATTTTATAATTTAAAGACTTTCAACTTTGTTATTAACAATTGTAGTTTTGTGTACTAATTCCCCTCAGTAATAAATTTGTATGCAAGTTTTTTTTAAGTGATATTTTATCTCTTCCATGTTGCTACATTCTACTACTATTATCTTTTGAATCTACTCTGGTTTAAGAGAGAAATTGTGGCAGGGTAACTCTTCCAAAGCTGGTCGGTTTTTATTGGAAATATTTTAACACAAGATACAGTGGCCAAACGGTAAATGCTTGTCTGAGGGAAGAGTCCTCAGCAAGCCAGGTCCTGAATAATTCCAGAACTCCTCTGTGGTTTGTTTTCATTGTGCATGTCCCTTCTGTCCTCCGCCCCCAAACAGAACCCGGTTGTGCCTGGCTGTGCCTTTTGGTTATCTCATATGAACTGGGAATATTGTAGGATTCTTTGCCTCCAGCTTCTTTATCAGGATCGTGTTTGATTTGTGTTCCCTTGGGTTGGTTCCCTTCCCCTCTTATTTTGGGTAGTAATATCTTAAGGCATGCACGTTTTCTTCCTCAGAGGGAGTTATGGTGGCCGTTGCTCACGTTTACGTGGAAATGGTGATGCAGGCTGGTCCTCGGTAATGTGGGTGGTGAGCCCAGGGAATTGAGGGATTCCAGAACAAGGACTCAGAATGAACCTCTGTAGGTTGTTCTTCCCTTTTTACCACCCTCACCCCTACCCCCACCATTGTGGAAATTACAGGCATGTGCCCAGTCTATCAAAGACCAGGTTTTTAAAAAAGTTAATTTGTTTTCTTCAGACTGTAGCTTGAAATCTTCTCTGCCAGCTGATTCAAAACAGTCACTTGAAGCAAGTGCGCAATAAAAGGCGCAGCAGTTGGGACCTCTTTGTTGAATTGCTGGCCTCCTTTGGTAAAAATTTAGAAATATAACTCAGCAATGAGCACAACTTTGAAGGATTTGTGGTTAGGATTTTGTGAAGTCTGGAAGAATAGGCTGTACTTCCGGAGCAGGAGAGAAGGCGAAACTTTGTTTTGGCCTCAGGTTGCCGCAGAAGCCACACCTCACCCTTCACGTATTTTTTGGTCAATGATCTGCAGTTACTGTCACGTGGCAGCCTGCCCTGATGGTGGATTATCTGGACGACAAATCAGTGCTCATGTCTCAGTCTCTTGCTTCCAGACATCAGGGGCTGGTGCCTCATGCCACTTTGGAACTGACCAGCACCAGGCTAGGGACTTAGAAAGTATGTGATAAATTCTTATTGAGAGATGAGTTTATTGAGATAAATTAGTTGAAGAGTTTAAATACATTGCATTTAATTTTTCTTAGGATTTGACACTTAAAATTGGTGGTTGTTATATTCTTTTACTTAAAATCATTATTTTCCTGTAAACTTGTGTGTGTGTGTCTGTCTGTCTGTCTGACCTGTTTGGAAGCATTATAAAATTATTAATTTTCTATCCAAAGTCTGAATGCCATGGCTTGTGTTCATGTCATTAAACTTGAACGTCAGTATTAAAATGATCCTACAGAAGTATTTGGGGGGTTCTTACTTGATTTCATTTGATAGTAAGACGAAGGGATGAAGTGGCAATGTATTTATTGGATTTTAGATTGCACATTCATTTCAGATTCCCATGCCAAGGCACTCTGCACCTGACTGCACTGCCGCCTGCAGCACATTTAATTTAAAATCAGGTGCCCTAGGGGACCAGCACACCGTAGACTTCCTGAGGGTTCATCCCGAGCCATTTTTAAAGGAGCCATTTTAAATAGTATTGGGGAAGCAGGAATTTAAGGGATAATGGTAGAAAAAGCGATTATGTAGAGGTCTTAAAAATCATTTCTAATATGTTTTCACTTAAATTGGCAAATTTGCAATGTAAGTCCCTGAAATCATTCTCTCAAACATTTTTAGCAGAGTTTCACAGAATTTTAAAGCCATTATATTCTACTTTTATTTAGGACCACGTTACTGAAGTTTAAAATCCGTTTTATGTTTTATTAATACTTTTAAATGTTCAGAGTAACTTTTAATATGTGTGTTTTCCAGTTTGTTAAGGGTGAAAATTTTTTTTTATCAACCTGAAGTATTTGCATTTAACCCATTTGTCAATCTAGTTTTCTTGACAAAAACTGCTATCATCTGAAAATAAAATCTTTACCGTAGATTATCTCATTCTGAGCCTATATTATGAGAGACGGCATAAATACTTTATGTAAATAATGGGTTGATCTGTAAGTTAATTAGACCCAAGAGAACCCCCGTCGAAACAAAACTGCTTTGTCAGTCCTTGCTTTCCATCAGCTTCTTCTGAGCCTACAGTTGCGGTACTGAAGAGCTGCACAACATATTAGTTTTCCAAAAGGGGTGCAGATAAATGTCAACTGCAGTAAGTGAAAATTGTAATTACAGTTAGCGTGGATTGAGCGAAGTGCTGTGTAGGCAAAGCCCTGTGCAAAGGTCCGTATGTAAATAGCACATCGCAGATAAAAGCTTGCTCTGTGATTATTAAGAACAGGGTGTCTTTTGCTCATTCTCCATCAGAAGGTTGATTAGAATCACTTGCAGATTATGTACGTCTACCTCTGGGGATGCTTCCCTTCAAAAAAGGAAACCCCGGGAGCTTTTTGTATAAAGGATAGATCTCCAAATATCTTATCTTTGAATACTGAATTTTTTGAAGCCCCCTTCTCTGATTTTTTTAAAAAACGAATTCCAAGTGTGGAGCCTTTTGCCCATTCTTTTAAATGCCATTTTCTTGTAAAATTTAACGGTACGTTAATTTACTCTTTGCCTAGGGTGCATGTGTTGACGGTGCCTCCTCGTTGATCCCCAGTTTCTCTGCTGTGTCCCCAGGCACCTTGTGATGAGAGTTTGCAATCTGATTTTCATCTACTCAAATTAAATTTAATCTTGAAGTATAGTATAGGACCGGAATGAGGATCTGAGACGATCGGTGATTTTATTTTCTTCTCTCAGCACTTCTTTATTTTCTGTAATGAGCATGGATAGCTTATGATTGAGAGACATTAAATTTGATATTCTTAAGAACAGCAAACACATTTTTAATGCAATGTCATGCTAATCTCTTTAATTTCATTCTTTTGTGATAAATCCTAATGACGAGATGAGAGTTGTAAAGGAAGAGACCAGTGGTAATCCTTGGCACCCTTCCTTATTATCCTATTTATTTGACTTGAAGAGTTTCACTTGTCTGTTTTCAGAGTATATGTTAATTGAGTGCTCAGTATTCATTACCAATAATCTTGTCTGTTTTCTCATGGAGATTCTGAAGGCCCTTTTGCTCTTTCTGTAAAAGCCAAGCAGACTGTATTAACTTCTGGTTTAATTTAAAAAACGAATGTGGAACTTGTTGGCACAACACCTTAAAGAATTGCATGTTTAATAATTGGAAGGCTCTCCATCAGATTTGTCTCCAGTCTGAATTAATAATGTTGCTGACTTATTGTTTTAGAAGACAGAGTCCTTGACCTGCCAGGTTGAAAGAATTGTGACTACTGTGAACCTTTGTGGGTCCTTTAGCTGTGCCATATCCCCTGTGAATAATTAGAGGTATTTGAAGGTATTCAGGTAGAAGCCAATTTGTGTCTTTCACTTTGCATATTGTTGAAGCCTCATGAATTAATCATAAGCAGGGCAAAAAATTAACTTCTTCAGACACATATTTTGATGGGTCATGAGGGAGAATGTAAAGTGATCTGTAAAATATTCTACTGATCCTCTAAGTATTAAATTATTATACCTACAGGCTAATTTCATGGGGGGGAGTTCCTCCTCCCCCTCTTTCAGTAATTGAGTAGCATATTTGAAAACATATCAAGGTTTGTTATTTTCTAAGACTGTAAATGAGTAATTTTATGATTCCTGAAAACCAGATTCCTGCATTAACCTTAATTTTAATTTGTTGGTTATTTTTCTTTTTAGTTTTAAATAATTTGAATTTTAGACTCTTATAACTGTACTTTAAACTTCTTGTTGATTTGGTGAAATGTATTATCTTTTTCACTTTGGGCATCCGAAGCTATTGTAAAATACGGAATCAAAGTAATATGGATTTCCATACTTGTTTAAAATTTAGTTTTATATTAATATCTTTTTTCCATTTTCTGTTTTTCTTTTTTTCAGCCAGTGAAACTGAAATTGCATTCTTCTGTGAGGAAGATTATAAGACCTACAAAGCTAATCCCATTTCATCCTGGTGAAAACGTCTCGGGGGCTGCCTTTTTGCATACCTGTATTAAGCTCTTTATTCCACTACTGAGTTTTTGAAATTGACAAACAAATCTTAAAAAATTAATCCCAGGCTCTACTATTTGAGCCAAAATCTGGTGATTTCTCTCTCTGCAGTTCTCCTCTCTCTCTCTTTCATGTCGTAAAATAATATATTATGAGAAAAACATTTGATTTTTTAAAAGTGAAGTAAACTGTTATTCAAAAATCATCTTGGAATATTGTTTTTTAAATCATAATTTGTTTTCTAAAATTAGGAATTATTTTGGTGACTTACATTGTTGAGTTCTTTAGAAAGATTGTAAGACTAAGTCACACTGTTTATTTTGTATTTTTTCCATAGATTCTAATTAGAGTAACTGTTATTGTCTTTGGCTACTTGAGATTTTGAGTTCTCTTAGACCCATCAGTGCTATTTTGTAGTTCAGGGAGTGTGTGATACACATGACCATACATGAAACTGAATTGTGTATATTTTAGGGAGGTTTTATGATGTAAGAGAGTTACTTTTCTATTTTTAATATCTCAGCCTATACAAATAACCTTGCTGAATTTTTTTTTTTTTTTCCTGAGCTGTGTTTTTTGATTTCAGGAGCAAACTATAATGGAACCAAACTCATTTATTTTGAGACAGGAGGTAGCAGGATGCTTGCACATCTGGAAGAAAATTGTTCCTTGAGCACAAGTCTATGTCCTGGAAGATACATTCTTTCAAAATAATATAATACTTTCGATTCCTGATAATACTTTCGATTCCTGATATCAGCACCTGAGGAGGAGGAGTTTCAAAGGCGCCTCTCAGCCAGCTTGTGTCTAGAGAGGTTAACTGGCTCGTAGAGAGGTTAGCTGGCTCTAGAATTACTCCATGAACCCTTAAATTTGCCAGTAGGGCAAATCGTTTTCATTGTGGTAAAGTCTAACTTAAGAAAACCTATTGTTTTTAAAGAATCAACTTTGAATGTCTGATTAACATGATCAGAAGATGCTGTGCTTTATTGAAAGAGTTAATAGTCTTCTTTAAAGCAGAAATTCTATTTATTTTATTCATTGTATTATTCATTAAACAAAGTGAGTGCTGAGTACACAGATGACCTGGGTTTCTGGGGAGTTAATAAGGAGGAAAATAAGACACAGTTTTTGCTTGAGTGAGTGGGGAAAGATATAGTATAAGCAAGTGATTTTAATAGAATATCAGTACTGCTATGGGAGTGTTGTTGACAGGGTAATTAATTCTGTGTGGGATGATTTTTTAAAGAAGTACCACTTGAGCTGTACCTTAAAAGATTGAATAGGGATTTCTGCTTAGAAGAAGGGCAAGCTTTCTGGAAGAGGGACTAGCGTATGCAAAGGCAGAGTACTGCGGAAGAGTTTGAGGTTTCAGTAGAAAGCACAAGTTTCAGTGTCACTAAAAATAATTAATTTAAAAATTTTTAACAATGATTAAGGGCCTTTTTGTTTTAGAAACAGGATCTTGCTCTGTTACCCAGGCTGGAGTAGTGGTGCTACAGTCATAGCTCACTGTAGCCTCAAACTCCTGGGCTCAAGTGATCCTCCTGCTTCAGCCTCCTGAGTAGCTGGGACTATAGGTGTGTGGCATCACCCCCAGCTAATGTTTTATAAAAAATTTTGTGTAAAGATGGGGTCTCATAATGTTGCCCAAGCTGGTCTCGAACTCCTGGGCTTAAGTGATCCTCCTGCCTCTGCCTCCCAAAGTGCTGGGATCACAGCTGTGAGCCGCCATGCCCGACCTAAGGGCCCTGCTTCATAACTTTCACCAAAATTTCAGACGGACTAAATAACTAAACATGAAAAACAAAATGATCAACTTATTAGAAAAAAATATGGATTATGTTTGTGACCTTAGAGTAGAGAAGGCTGCCTTAAAACTCAAAATGCAAATGCCATAATTTGGTAGAGTTGATGTATTTATATGAAAAACTGGATTCCAAAAACAATCATAAAGCTTGAAAGACAAAGTAAAGACTAGGAGAAACTACATGTCCTTATAAGATAAAGGATTAGTTTCTAGAATATATAAAGAACTCTCACAAATCAGTGAGAAAAGAACAAACATACAACAGAAAGATGGATATATTTTATAAAGAAATTAATATAAAAGGAAACATATATAGCTTATAAGCATGTGAAAAATGCACATCCCGTTATTCAAGGAAATTCAAGTTAAAACAACAATAGGATAGCATTTTCACTCATCAAACTGGCAAAAAGTAAAGGGTTTGGTGATAAGTGTTGGCAGTGATGTGTGCCTACACTGCCAATGGGAGTATAAGTTCATGGTCAATCACTTAGGCAAGTGATTTGGTTTTGTATCTATTAACAAATCAAATGTGCATATTCTGTTGACCCAGCAGTTCCAGTTCTTAGAATCTATCCCAAAGAAACTCTCTAATGCCTACAGAAGGAGGCCTTTATAAGGGACTTCACTACAGTGTTATTTATGACGGAAAATCACCGCAAACAGCCCAAATAATGCGAATAGGAGAATAGCTAAATAAACTATGGCATATCTCTATTCTGAATTCCTACTTAATTTAAAACAATGAGGAACATCCATATTATTAACTGACATGGGATGGCCTTTGAGACATCTTGATGGGTGAAATTGCAGACGGATTCATAAAATGTGATATTTTAAAAAAGCCCAAAATGATACATATATATAATGTATATATACAGATGTTGCTACGTACTGAATGTCTATATCTTCCCCAAATCCGTATGTTGAAATCCTCACCCCCAAGGTAATGGTATTTGAAGGTAGAACCTTTGGGAAGTGATTAGGTCATGGTGTCCGAGCCCTCATGAATGGGGTTAGTGTCCTAATCCCTGTAGAGACCCCTCGTGCCTTGCACCACGTGAGGTTAGAGTGAGAAGACAACTGTCTATGGGGAGGTTGCCCCTTACCAGACATCAAATCTGCCAGTGCCTTGATCTTGGACTTCCCAGCTTCTAGAACTGTGAGAAATAAATTGGTTGTTTATAAGCCATCCAGTCTGTGGTATTCTGTTAGAGCAGCCGGAATGGACTAAGACATGTGTATGTGAATGTACACATGGTCACACATATATACACATACACTCAAAAGGACACATACCAAATTGATAACGTTGATTACTTCTGGGGAGGGGACTAGGATTGGGAGGTGAAGGTGGTAAAAAGCCTTATCTATCGTGTTTAACTTTACCAGGAGAGCGTATTTGTGTTAAGAATTAGTAAAAACAAGCTGAGAGCAGTGGTACACGCCTGTAGTCCCAGCTACTCAGGAGGCTGAGGCGGGAGGGAGCCCTTGAGTTCAGGAGTTTGAGTTTAGTCTGGGCAATACAGCCAAGACCCCATCTCTTAAAAAATTGGTAAAAACAAAACCAATACACATACAGAAATCTAAAGCAGGGAAAAACTCATCAGGCAATTGCCATAAACATTTGGACATATTTTCATCTAGGTTATTTTTTCTATGTATATATTTTTTAGTATTTCTGATCTTTTTAATGTGTTTTAAGTTATACAAGTAATATTTGCTTGTTAAAAACAACCAGTTTTGAAGGTAAAAAAGTTAAAATCCTTTTCTTCAAGGGTCACTCCTTTGTATGGCTTGGAGTGCATACTTTCAGACCTTTTTTTCCTGCACATATATCATTATTTAAACATATGGGTATGCATTTTAAAGCATCATTTTATGCATTTTAAAGCATTATCATTCTTTTAAATATGGTTGGGAAGTCTCACCCTTTTTTTTTTTCCAATCACCACTGTGTGCCAGACACTGTGTGTTTTATGTACCATCTCATCTCACCCTCACAGAGCCTGTGACAGAGCTCTGGGGAGTCCTGGCGTCCCCATGTGGGAAACGGAGAGGATAACAAGGACTACCTCACAGAGTTTTGGGGATCAAGTGAGACATTACTGACGGGCACTTAATGGGAAGGGCCTGGCACGAAGTGCGTGCTCACCACGCATCTCACCGTGCTCCTTGCGAGCACTGGGTGCAGACGCCTCGGCTTCCTCCTGGAGCAAGGAGCCCTGAGTCTCACAGGTATTAAGCCACTCACTCGAGCCCTAAAATCTGGTAAGTTAAAGAGGTTTCTTCTGGCTTCAAATCCCACTTTGTGCTACTCTGAAAACAAGGGGAGTTGGGCACTTGGAGAAACAGGGTAGAGAGGTTGTCACCCACGGGCCAAGAGACAATTTCCCATCCGTGTTTGTTGGCACCCCTTTACATACATTTTTGTCATTCTCAGTTGAAGAGAACTTGTTTTCTCCTCCTGCGCCAAAGGATCATACAGGCCTTAGCCCCACTAGCCAGGCCAGGTTTCGTGTGAGTTTGAGAACTTTTGTGCCAAAGCGAATGTGCTTTCTCTTCTTTTTCTGGCTGCTCCAGACACAGGCAGGAGAGATGGTGACCCTGCCTATTTAGCACACCCAGAGACGTGGCCTGGCCTGGGCCCCTTTGGAAAACTGCCACTTGCTGAGGTCAGGAGGGGGAGGGAAGCGTGTGTGTGGTGGGGAGGGGGCTGAGATTGCTGGTCCACTTCTCTGCTGGGCAGAAGGGTCCGAATATGGCAGTGTCAGAGAAGCCAGATTCTTGTCATAGTTTTTTCATTGTGTGTGCATATGTGTACACACGTGTACATGTGGGTGCATGCATGTGTGTTAGGGGAAGGGCTCTGATTATTGGTTACTGGCAGTTTCACCTCATTTTACTCTAAGCGACTCATGATTAACCACAGTAGCAAAGGTAATTGAAGTGGAATATTTACTTACTTGGTTTGAGGTTAATATTTTGAACTCTACCATCAAGACGGGGTCTTGGATGTCTGCAGACCTGGAAAGTACCCGTCCCTCACATGGAACCCACAGCGTGGAACCCATCGCCGCTCGGTTCCTTTCACTCTGCGCGTCCAGCATTTGCAAGAGGTGAGGCTGTGGAAGAGGAAGGCACAGCTTTGTCATTTCTTTCCTTCAAAGGAGATAAATTTATTCAATGAATCAGACCCGAGACCAGTTTCGCCCAACCCCAAATGTGCATTTTGGGTTAGATTATGAACATAAGAGTTTAGATAATGGCCTTTGGAGACTCATTTTTCCATCATTAGTCAGTGAGAGGATCATATAACGTGTAATGACTTAAAAGAAGCATTCAGGATGTGTGTCATGCTGCTCCGCAGTGTGGTTGTTGGAGAG